ATTTTACTTGATCATGTTGATAATGAAATTTTTAAAGTTTCAATTGCTCAGTGTATTGCGAGAGTTTTAGGTGACATTTCTTCAAATTATTTAACTCCCAAACTTTTTAGTGAGTATATTGAAAAATTATTTGATGGTTATAATGTACAAATTAACATACTAAAAGAGGATGATTGGAAAAAAGAAAACATGTATTTGTTTGATTCAGTAGCTAGAAGTTCATCTGATAAAGGTAGATTTGTTACTATTAAATTTTTTAATAGAAGTAATTCTACTGATCATGATATCGCTTTAGTTGGAAAGGGAATAACATTTGATGCAGGTGGTATTTCATTAAAACCTTCTAATAAAATGGGTACTATGAAATGTGATATGTTAGGTGCATCTACAATGTTATCAACAATGTTATTAGCGGTACAAAGTGACTATAAGGCAAATATTACTTGTACATTACCATTAGCTTTTAACGTACCTGATGGTTGTGCTACTAAACCAGGTGATGTAATTGTTGGTATGAATGGAAAGAGTGTTGAAATACTTAATACAGATGCTGAAGGTAGATTAATATTAGGTGATGCACTTACTTACACTCAAAGAAAATTTGGTAAACCTAAATATCTTATTGATGCTGCTACTCTTACTGGTTCTATAAGAGCTGCATTGGGTGAATCATTTTGTGGATATTTTACTAATAATAACAATTTTAGTGATTTAATTAAAGAATCAGGAAAAGAAGCCAATGAATTCTTACATAGAATGCCTTTATCTAAAAAGTATATTAAAACTATGAAATCTGATGTGAGTGATTTAAGAAATACAGATGAAACTGGTTTAAGTGGAGCTTGTTGTGCAGCAGCATTTTTGTATGAATTTATTGATAAGGATGTAAATTTTGTTCATTTTGATATTGCTGGAGTTTCTATGTCAAAAACACCTTCTGGTATCTACAATGGAATAGCTAAATGTAGACCACTTCTAGCTTTTTATGAGCTTGTAAAAAAGTTAGTTGAGAAACTTTAAATAAAATTTCTTAATCTATTTTATAAAAAAATTCTATATGTATTTTATTTATTTTTATGTAATTACGGTCATATCCAAAGTAAAACTTCTGAACCCATTAGATCTCAGTAAATAAGTCTTTGAGAGCTCATTCAAGT